AACATTTTGAGATTCTGTCCTTCCTTTCAAATTTTGTGTTCTACTGCTCTCTCACTACTCTTTCTCCTCTTCCCTCTATACTTTCTCTCCTTTTTCGAACCTGAAATTTATTAGTGCTCAAGACTGATAGCAGTCTTGAACATCTACACCAATCATAGCTGATTGTTAGGATGGTCATCCTTTGGTTCATTTATAAGGCTAGAAAAGATCTCCCATGTATGATCCATCAAATGGTAGTTCCTGTCCATTCCCTCCTGCATATGTGTGCCCCATGTATCACTGGTTCTTTGTGCCATGATAAGAATCTACAACAGGAAGGCTTGCCATCAAAGCACCAGTTAAAACCAGGCTTCTTTAGACAACTACTGACAAAACCCACTCCTGGATACACTTGAACATGTAATTGCTTTTTATTGTCTTTTATTAAAACATTTAAAGGATAGTTCAGTTGACAATACTTGAAAAGTCCAGTCTGTATTGCACTACATTTTAAAATAGAATGTTAAAAAAAGTCCTGACTTTTAGTGAGTATATGAAATTTACCAATATGAAAAAATAGCTATTACATAATGAACCTGCTATAATAACTGGATAATTCTTCTGGCATGCTCAACAGTGCTCTCTCTGAAAAGAATTTGAAGGGAAAAATCCCAAATGAGCTTAAGAACTTGGACAGTTTGACAGAATTGTAAGTGTTGATGTACTTTAAGTGATTCATTTCTTTTTCTTTTTTGTTTTTCTTTTTATTTGTCATGTCCCAATTGATAGTTTCATATCCAGTGCATCACTTTTGGCCTATTAGGTGGCTGGACGGTAACTCCTTCACTGGGCCAATCCCTGACTTAAGTAACCTTATCAACTTGACTATTGTGTAAGTCCCCCCCCCAAAAAAAAAAATGTTCTTTTCTTTTTTGTTTCTTTTCAGTTCATGATTTGAAATTTCATGTACATATACTCAAAGAGAAGACCATAGTTTAGTTATGCTTGGTTTTCTACGGGAATATGCAGGCATCTGGAGAACAATGGACTGACTGGTACACTGCCTTCTTACCTGGCTGATTTGCCAAGCTTAAAAGAATTGTATGTAGTATGTTAACTTTTACAATGAGTTTCAAACTTTAAATTCTACATTTGACACCTAAGGAAGTAGTTATGTTTTGCCCTCTGATTTTAAAGTTGACACTCAATACAATAGTTCTGTTTCCTCTCACTAGAATTCTTTTTCTCAAGTTATGGTTGCCATATACAAAGTATTATACTTGTACCACTCATAGATCCATACTAACTTTGAAATCCTCATGTGGCAGGTATGTCCAGAACAATTCTTTAAGTGGAGAAATACCTCCAACATTTCATACTGGAAAAATAGTATTTAAGTAAGTCACCAAGTATATATAATGCTAAACATTTTTTTTGAACAATATGTAATGCTAAACGTTAAAGACATAGAGAATACATTTTCTTGAAATAGGCCATTTCCCTTCACTTTTCCAACTGGAATAAATCAAACCCTCCTTGTGTTGTAATAAGAATCAACTAATGGTGCTAAATGGAATACATAATTTGCATATGTATATGCGTATGTGACAATGTTCTTCATTACTGTTCCTCTTAAACATCACTTTTATAAAACAGGTAGTTGCTTCACAATGGGCTAAATCTTGGAGTTGTCCTTCCAAAAATTCAGAAACGACATATGATTGACTATTTGGACACTTACCGGGGTTTAATCCACAAAATCATTAACATCTCAGTTATATAGAATGTTGAGTTTGTTAATTGGATGGATTCAGTGTCAAGTGGGGTAAGAGGAGTGAAAAGTTTCAAAGATTGACTAAAACAAATAGTTTCAAAAAGGAGTGAAAAGTGAACTAAATGATATATCATGTTTTTCATAAACAAATTTCTAAAAAGAATGTATTCTAAAGTAGAAATTCCATGGGCAAAGGCAGAATCCAATTAGAACCAGGATATATCCCAACAGATGATAAAAAAGCACACTGTCGTAGCAAGGACAAGTATAATGATGGTAACTACCTAATAATGAAGGTAGTAAGAATAGTTTTATAAACCATAACAATAGTAACAATAGTAAACAATGACAAAAAAAAATAATGAAATAGCATTGACATAAAGGAATAGTTTTTATATAACAATATTATATTATTGCATTAATGTCATGGTTCTGACAATCTACAATAAAACTTTGCTTAACAGCTATAATTTTCCCATTTGCAGGTATGATGGCAATTCTCAGCTAGTTCAAAGGGGGCACCACAACAGGAATTCTAAATTGATAATTTGGGCTTCAATTGGAGCAGTTTCAGTTTTTGCAGTTCTGCTCCTAGGAAGCTTATTACTGTTATGTAATGCTCCAAGAAAGTCATATCAGGAGAAGAGTAATAACAGATGTATATTTTCAATACTTTCCTCTTTACTTTGTCAAAAATAAGCCATCATTTTCCATGCCCATGCATAGGGTATATGTGATCAATATTGCATCTCAACATTTTACTTTCTTCTGCTCATTAGGTAATTCTGCACATGTAATATCAAAGCGTTCATCTTCCTACTCTCTTTTTCATGGTGGATCCCTGATGGATGAAGCTCTAGATATGGCTTACTATATCACACTCTCAGATATAGAAGAAGCTACTCAAAATTTTTCAAAGAAAATTGGGAAAGGAAGTTTTGGACCTGTCTATTATGGCAAGATGAAAGATGGAAAAGAAGTGGCAGTTAAGATCTTGGCTGATGCATCTAGCCATGGGAACCACCAGTTTGTCAATGAGGTAAACTTGTAATCAGGAATCTTTACATGAAATACTGAAATAATTGATGATTGATGTAGCACGTGGCAGTTATTAGTCATGACTGTAATAAGTTCCTATTCAGATAAAATATATCATTACATCAGTTATGGAAATAACATTTCAGGTTGCTCTCCTGTCCCGTATTCATCATAGAAACTTGGTTCCCTTGATTGGATACTGTGAAGAGGCTCATCAACGAATTCTGGTTTACGAGTATATGCACAATGGAAGTCTACAGGATCACATTCATGGTATGCCCCATATTCTTGTATAGTTGCATCTTTGTGTGTGCTTTTGGAAACACGCAAAAACAATTCCTTCAAATCTATAACATAATCTATTGACCAGGTTCTGGTAATCAGAAGTGTTTGGACTGGCTATCTCGTCTTTCTATTGCAGAAGATGCAGCTAAAGGTTACATGAGATCCTGTTTTTTCAAATATAAATTAATTTTTATGTGTTTGAAATAATCTGTCTGTAACCATGATGTGAGATATTTGTAGGTCTTGAGTACTTACATACTGGGTGCAACCCAAGTATCATTCACCGAGATGTGAAGACAAGCAATATTCTCCTAGACATCAATATGAGGGCAAAAGTGTCAGATTTTGGACTTTCAAGACAAGCCGATGAAAATCTTACCCATGTATCAAGTGTTGCTTGTGGAACAGTGGGCTACCTTGATCCTGAGTAAGGAATAGATATCATGAACTGCTTTAAACAGTTTTTCCTCAGTGCATGCTCACCTAATCATAATTGCTCTGCTAGGTACTATGCTAATCAGCAGTTGACTGAAAAGAGTGATGTTTATAGTTTTGGAGTCGTTCTCTTGGAGCTGATATCTGGAAGAAAGCCTGTCTCAATAGAAGATTATGGCACTGAATGGAACATTGTTCACTGGGTATGCCTATTCAGTCTTTTATTAATAGCTTTTAAAGCAATCAAATCATTTCAGGCTGCATTGGTTGATTCTCTGAACTTCTGGATATACCTCTTTACAACCTCCTCTTAAATGATGGAACCATTTCTGGTTAAAATGAGGCCATTACACAATGATACTTCTGGCTTCCCAGGGTCTTGTAGGGGACCTAACCTTTGGCCTTTATTACACAAAGTGGGAGCTATCAGACTCAAACCTATGTTTCACACTTGTCAGTCCAAGGTTCTACCATGGTACCAAGGAATAGCAACATGAAACCATACAGCCTGTTTAAATTTATTAGCTTAACACATTCCTGATTAAAAATAAATATCAAGAGATAAAAATTTCGAATAAGATGACCTTGCTATTTATTGACACTGAGAATAAGGCCACTGTGGCTCATGCAGTTCTATCCAAGCTCTGCCTTTCAGATCCTTGCTGTCAACCTTGACCCACATTTTTTCCACGTTTCCCTTTGAGTTGGTGCCTTCAAATACTTTAGTGGTTTGTTGGCATCTAGCAGATATAGTAGGCCAAATGGCTCCTTCAACTTCTTGTATTTGCTCTAGAAGTCTTCCGGTGTTTTTTATTACCAAAATAGCACACCCTGTTTCATGGAATGGACTTGTATGTATGTATAGCAAGTGCAACTATTCAAACTTACCATCTAGGTCTATATTCCTCATTCATATAACATTTTTGATAGAAGGCTTAACTGAATAAACTAACCAAACCCCTAATATTGAAAAGCCACATTTTAACTTGTGACATGAAATATATTTGAATATATTGGAGATTGACAATCTACTAAATGTGTTATTTGCAGGCAAGGTCTTTAATTCGTAAAGGGGATGTGATGAGCATCATGGATCCCTTGCTAGCTGGCAATATCAAAATTGAGTCCCTGTGGAGAATTGCTGAAGTAGCAATTCTAAGTGTTGAACCGCATGGAGCTTGCAGGCCAAGGATGCAAGAAGTAGTTTTGGCTATTCAAGATGCAATTAAGATTGAAAAAGAAAACCAAAGAACTTATAAGGTATGTTCAAGTTCAGGGACAATGTGGTTTTCAGGTAAAAGCTTACCATCTTGTTCTCTAGATATAGATAGCTCTGACATATCAAATGGTTGTGCTCTGCCATCTGCAAGATAAATGTGTAGCACACAAACAACACTGAATTGTAAAGGAATTCTTCAAGGGATTGATTATACTATGTTTATCTTAGTCTTCAAAACAGATGTTTTCTTCCAATAAATGTGCAATATAGAATGTAACTTTAACTTTTAACCTCAAATGAAAATAGATTCTTCTTCTGCTAAACAAAGTAGGCAATTATGGTGAAGTAACAGAAGACATACATTTGTCTTGAGAACTAGTAGAGGCATCCAAGTATAGACGTTCTATGATCGATTAAACCCAATTTGCAGAATGTGGTGGCTCAGGTAAGTTGGAAAAGCAGATAAGTAATTAACGGGTTTTGCTTGGCTCAGTGGAGAGGATTTCTATTTGATGAGGGCGGATTTGGCCCTCCAATGATATTGTGACACATGGCACTTCGGAACAAATAGGTGACACCTGGAACCACTTTGGCAACAACTTGCCTTAGCCAAGTTGATGGTGTCCCACCTGGTGGCCCAAGCGCGGCTTGGCCGCTTGGCCCTAGCTTGGCCTGGCCGCCAGGCCCTGACGCGGCCTGGCCCTGGTGCGACCTGGCAGCCTAGCACAGGCGCGGCCTGGTGGCTTGGCACAGGCACCAACCTGGCAGCCTGGCCCAGGTGCAACCTGGCAGCCTGGCACAGGCGCGACCTGGCACATGCGCCGACCTGGCGACTTGCAAGACGTGCTCACCGACGAATTCGGCATGCATATCCAAACACTCCCACGATCCTTGGAAGTTGGCCCA